AATTTTTACCAAGTAGGGGTTTGTAGTTTGACTTAAAGTGAATTGGCCCATAATTTAATTATGACGGGCAGCTAGAAAAAAAAACAAAACAAACAAAAAAAAAACAACTACACCTTTTTGGGTTATATTTAAACCTGCAGAACATCCGTGGACTCTCCGTGTACACCACTCCACTTTAGCTCCTGTTTTCCCCTTCCAGAAAGTTGGCATTTGACAAATGAAGCCGTTAACTGTGTAACCTCAGCTCTTGACCTGAGGGCTACAAACTGTCAGTGTAGCTGCTAACAGGAAGCTTCAGCAACATGTAGCTTTATCTGTATTCTCATGCAAAATAATGATTCAGAACAAAATTATGAAATCAAAGATCATTCTAGGCTTTTTTTAACATGTGAATAGTGACTCTGTCAGATGACTTTAGTTATAAAACTGGGATATGCTAAACAGTTTCGAAAACAGCTTGGAAGCAACGCCCGGCTTACATTAGTCTCAATTGCTATCATTTAGGCGCTTTTGGTTTTTCTTGGCATTAACTGGCTGTGGGAGGCACCAAAATCTGTGCAGGAAAAATCCCTGACAGAGGCACACACACAAAAAACAGCCCCGTCGCTGTTACTTCGACGTCAGCTTTTAATTGTTTCTGTGGTTAAATCGTGTCTACAGACGCTGGGAATGACTCGACAGACATTCACTATCTCAGTAAGTCTCTTCTCAGAAGACTGGAGCTTCTGTGTATGTGTGTTGTGGTTAAGAACAAATTTGGTGACTTGGCTTTGACACAGCCAGTTAAATAGATGGCTTCCTAGTGATTTCCCTGCAAAACCACATTGGTGACAAGTGTACGTGTAAGCCGCAAATGACACTATAAACTCTCGCATAGACACACACATAATTATGCATCCCTAGACTAATCTTAACAACAACTGAACAGTTGACAGCAGTGTACCAGTTCCCTGCCAACAGTGGAGTATGCATTTTTTGAGTGCTACAAACAAGTGGACTGGAAGAAAGAACTGTTTAGATGAACCATAAACGTGACTAGCGAAGTGTATAGATACAGATGCACTCGTGCCTACCTTCATCACACAGAGTGTGTGTTGAGGAGGGGCTTCAATTAAGCTCCTAATCAATGATAACAAAAGCTTTTGTGTGTTGCTATAGTGAATGTAAAAAGTCATTTGAGATGAATCTCCATCTCATTACACAGCCAATTAAAAGCTATATATAAAGCTAAGCTCTAGTAATTTTTTCAGATGTACAAAAAGCATTTCAAAATAACTGTCTATGCAAACCAAACTGTGCCCTATATAATTTGAGAATAACTGCAAGCTAGGGCTGGGCCATATCATCCTGTTCACGGTAATACCGGTATAATGTTAGGCAATGATAAGAAAATGAAATATCGCGATAGAATATGGGTAAAACGCGCATGCGCAGTGCCTTTGTTTTCATACGCACATGGTGGAAAAAGCATGGCGGCGACGGAGAATAAGAAGGGCGAAAGCAGATCATTGAATTAAACAGATGAACCAGAATTGGTTTGTAAACATGATGTAACTTCAGTGGTGTGGAACTGGTTTGGCTTTCGTCTGGCAGATACACACCAAAGCACTTTTTTTGGTAGAGCATGCAAGCGGGCCGTCGTTATTACCGAACCGATTTTATGTGGTACGCGGCGCTCAAAAATCTTTCAAAAAAACAAGTTTTAGTACGACTTTGGTAAGCTACGAAGCCGCACCGCTTCAGATTGCCGGGGCATTACGGCTACCGTAGTCAGGAGCCTCGCGGAGTGATACGTACTGTGCTTCAACATAATATTACCGTATTGTGTGTGTTTATAAGCTCTTTAAGTTTTGTGGATATTATACACGGTTATGCTGAGGATATGTCGGCCAATTTCCACTGGAAATGCCTTTTGGTTAAACTGTCAGCAAGGAATTTGCGTTTGCACTGTTAAATTTTTATATAACTTTAATGCACATAAAAAACAGCTGCTTGTTTAAGTGAAAATACATTGATTGGGGGGGGGGTGTTGCACTAATAAAGTTGTGGAGTTGTTAAGTATTTTGTCTCGAGTCAATTATATCGTCAGTTATATCGTTATCGCAAATCTTCAAATATATATCGTTATGAATATTTTTGGCCATATTGCCCTGTCCTACTGCGAGCTGTTAATTCCACGAGTCTAGATTTGTAACTTTGCCATTTATGAAAGGTTGCTACACAAAGCAAAGTAAAGTAAAACAACATTTATAAAGGGATTGGGCAATAAGGAAAATGTAAGATGTCTTATATTAAAAATGAACTGAAATATAATGCAATAAAAACATAATTCCATAGACCTCGTTTAATGCTAGTTCCTTTTCAGTTAGGATCTGCCTCAAATTTTAGGAAAGTTGAACAATTCTCCATATTTCACAAGATAAATTGTGAATGAGATTCTAAAAATAAAAATCACCCTAATTAGCACTGACAGGTCAAACGGATAACTAGCAAAAACATTAAAAAAAAAAGGAATTAAAGGGGAAAAAAAAAATTCAATTCAATTCAATTTAATTAAAGGTGTTTCAGGAGTTTTTAAATGTGATTTCTATCCAAAAGGTTATTAATGAAAATTAACAGTATAGATCTTAAGTATGTGCCAAAAGAATTGAAGAAGAGAAACATGTAAAATGCTTTAAAACAGATGTTTTCTGGGGTAGCAGAACATTTAACATAGTTTTGTGGTGGATCTTCACATGTCATATATTTAGGGAGAAACAAAACCTTTGTTTGTTTACAATATAAACTTCAAACAGCAGTTTTAATTTCTGCTGTGTCACTGTGGTACTAAAAAAAATAAGACTGTACTCATGTACTCATGTAATAAGAAATAATACATGAGTACAGTTTTAAAGCTGTGCCAGGTGATCACATAAAAGGACATTGCTTTCAAATAATGTTGCTTTCACTCCCAAATAAGTGCAAACATTTGTGCATAGTAACAAGGCTCAACAAATCCGGCCTCCGCATAGGTTAAAATTTTTACAAAATAATTTTACTGGCTTAAATGTTAGCGTCAATCAATAGAGAATCACAGCATAAACTGGGCCCAGAATGACAAGATGCAAAAATGCCACATTAACAAGCTTTTCGACTTCACCTATACAATGAGTGACCACCTAATTTGTGTCCGGTGTTAAAGTTGTTCCAACACACCTTTTCTTTAATCAAAAATCAATACTTCAATGCAATTTAAAACAAAACAAAACAAAAAATCAGTGCCAGAGAAATATCCCGTGTGTGCCAAAAAATACTCACAATTTGCGTGTGCCAACACTTGATATAAAACAAACAAAAATAATAAAATAAGTGTCACTCACCTTGTTCATGTTGCCTGCTTGCTGAGCAGTACTGAGGGTAGTGTGAGTTCCCATCTGTTGCCCTCCCTGTGTGAGCGTCTCTGCCAATGCACTACCTGATCCTCCTTGTCCTGTTGCAGTTCCCTGCATTGTCTGTCCCTGGTACTGCATGCCTGTTACCCCTGCCCCACGTCCTCTCCCAGCTCCAGGTACGAGGCCACCATTCATCACTTGCCCAGGCTGCGGCTGCCCTCCCTGGTTCAGGAGTCCAGTATGGCCCTGGTTGTTGTTAATCATGGCCTGACTGAACCCAGTTGTGTTTAAGCCCATAGTTGCAGTATTGTTGTTGTTGTTCTGTCCTGCTACTCCAGTTGGGGTTCCTGCTTTTTGGGCCTGAGGGGACGGGTGGTTGTTGGGGGAGCCCTGGCCAAGAGGGCTCTTACCCAGTGGTGCTCCTAACTGTGGCCCCATGCTGCCTGGCTGAGAGCTAGCTGTGCCTATATTAGAAGTAGTACCAGCCCGAAGCAGCTCTGAGAGCTGCTTGTGCTTGGCCGCTGCATCTGGAACGGCAGAGGCACTGCCACCGCCATGTCCTGACTGAGTGCCTCCTGGTCCGCCAGCTCCAGGTGCTGCTCCTCCATTTGAAGGCATCCCGCCCATCAGGCTAATATCACCTCCATTGGGGATCAACTCATCTGGAAGGTCATTCTCCAAATCGTCCCAGGAGAGTGACCCAAGATCTATGAGAAGGGATAGAGAAGCAAAATGTCACAAAATGTTTTATACAACCATCTGAATCAGTGCCAAACATTCATTCTCCTCTGCTTCAAATAAGCCTGTACTCAAATCACTGAGTACCAGAGCATCTAGATCTTCTTATCTACTGCTAGCAACTTATTCTACAATGCAACACATGACACTGGGAAGATTTTTTTCTACTTTTTAACAGTTTTGAGTCCCCACCATAAACATTCCAACCACAGCAGAAAAATAGCCAGCATGGTAATAAAACTTTGTAACCACTTTTGTCAGTTATGGTTTCCATTTTTATTAGAATTAGAGGCATTTGCTTATCAAATGATCAGAAAAGGTGAAAAACGTAATTTTTATCAAATAAAAGATTCAATACATTTAGTTAATGGACTGTAGTCCCCACCCAAATGCTGAGCCATGAAAAATCCTGCTGTGTTTGAAAAAAGAAAAAAAGAAAAAAGGGCTCTTACTCCTCAGTTGACCCTTGGTCTCAGTCCAAGTGTTCACAAACATTCTAATTATGAAATATTAATGAGCCAACATGCTAACTGCTGCTGCACTGTGGCCTTGTCCCTTGCAGTGCAAGACAAAATAAGCATAAAGCGTGATAAAGCATCGCTACTGGCTGACAAACACAGTGTGACAAGAGAATCCAGCAGCACTCGGGGTTCCTGCTGGGTGGCGTAGGAATATTTGTGTCACACCATCCAGAGGTGTGAGCATAATGGTGAGAGCCTAGGGAGCCACGATTTGTTTGAGAATTACTGATTAAGATGGTGACAAAAGCACAGGAGCTGTGCATGCTTTACAGCTTTGAATCACCAAGAAGAATCAACTCTCTGGACAAACTGTGAAACAAGATCACTTTCCACAGCCTTGATCACGAGTTCACCTAACGGCACAAAATCACCAAAGAAACATGCTTCGAACCCTGCAGCTCTCCGTTTTCATTTTCCTCTATAAGTGACATTAACTTGCCTATTCAGTATAACGTGCCTGACGAGAGTAGAAATATTACCTGAAATCTTATTTGGCTAACTTGTTTCTTCAAAAGCATGTTGTGGAGCGGTTTGTTGGTCTTGTGTAAAGAGTGGAGGACATAACTGGATTGTATGCAACTGACAATTTCTTCCACAAACGCGCAAATTTACTGAATTTGTGCGACTGAAAGTAATGAAGCCAAGAAATGTCACTGTATGAAAGGCGCTGTTAAGCAAATTACTTTTCAGTATATGATGAACAAGACCTTAATGCTACAGGACTGAGCACTGCTGCTGGATGTCTTCATTGAGATTCAGTCAGGATCCCGGCTTTAATGAGGGCACTTGGCCTACACACTTCCCTGAGTAAACACAGGCTTGCAGATCTGCCTTGCTAGCTCGCTGTCTGTCCCCAGCATCAGGCACGCAGGTGCTCCATGTGGAGGAAGCTTGTTTGAGGCTGAAGGGACAATCCATCTTTTCCTCTCTCTCTCCTCTCAGCCCATGCCGTCTATCAGGCAGGCACATGGATGCTCTCCAAGCAGCTGTATTCACTTCAACTACATACGCTAAGGCCTGGCATTGCATTTTTCATTTCAAAATGGAAATCTAAACACAAACACACCCCAACCTTGCCCTTAAGCTTGTTGGCTGGATACCAAAAATGCAAAGCAATGTTTTGGTTGGGTATGGCCACATGCAGTCTGGGGAACCCCAACCGTAAGGAGGGGGAAGGTGGGCATTAACCGTTTTAACATATGCACTGCAGTCCTGAAGTTTTCTTCAGACATAAACCATGGAGCTGTATGTAGGAATGCGAAAGTTTAATTCGGACCTTACAATAAAAGCTCCCTTGGACAGAGTCTGCATAAAGTTGAACCAGTGTGCGAATTGATGTGATAAACCAATTCACATGGGAACGTCGATTACATTTCACTTTCCATATCATTTCACTGTCTCAAAGGCAGAAGAAAAACATCCACAGGTAAAGAAGGGTCACTTACATGAGTGCAAATACGACAACAAAAACACTTAACTCGGGAAACAATGTGTGATTTACTCAAAAGTGGATACACACAAATCAGTGTGTCAACTTTTCACACAGTCGTTCATAAAGCTCCTTTATACCCTCCCATAGCTGACTTTATCACTCCCTCCCCTGCCCCCCTTTGGCCACTGTCTTGAGGTGATGGCTATAAATATCTACAAAAGCAGCCCCAGCAGTGGTCCCGCCTGGAGATTTCTGTCATCTTGCCCTAAAGCCATGTGCGTCTGCTCTCAGAGGGACAGGTGCAACATTGCTACTGGCATTCTTTTAATTGTTGCTCAATATAAATTGGTGGATAGCAAAACAAATCCACTTAATAGTGGAAAGGGACTCTTATTTTATCTTATTTTAGGTTTCCTTTCTGCAGTAATAAATCCTCCAAGAAAGTATGCCATTGCAACAGTTGGAAAGAACAGCAGAGGAAAATTACTTCACTGAGTAAATAAATACTGACTGTACCCAAAGACACTGAAAAAATATGTCAAGTTACAGACCTTCAGTTTAAAACATTTTTAAATCCAACAAGACTACTTCTATTACAGACAATAGTCAAACTGCAATAGCTTTGTTTACAGTCCACTTAGCGAGCCTGCGCCAAATCAAAAACAGAAAATATGAAAATAACTGTTTGCTGAATTTAGTACTCAGTAGTGGTGCAACAGATCACGGTTGATCCGTAATCTGAATCGATCCCACTCCACGGTTCGGCACGCACGTGATCCAAAGATTCGAAAAAGAAGGGAAAAAAAGTATATGTATGGTGTGCGTGGTGAGTCTGTCAAGCGATAGTTATGGCTAGCGGTCCAAGTGGAGGAGCAGAGGAGTTTGCGGCATTTAAGCAGCCCTTTGTTCCCCAATCCGACTGGGCTAAAGCTATTACAAAAGCTACTGGGGTGTTTAGCTGCAGACGTTGTGCAAAACAAGGGGTTTAAACTATGATGAACGTGCTTGAGCCACGCTATGATATCCTGTTGCGCGTCCACTTCAGTGACAAGATCGTACCCAGGCATGCATGAGCAGGAAAACTTTAAAGTTATGGCTGAACTGTCCCACGCATCTTTTGTTGCTCAACTACAAACGGGTGGACCTCCAGGTCAACGGAAAGCTACGTGACCGCTCATTATATCACAGCGGAGTGGTAGATATAAAGCCCAGTACTGCCCTATATTGCACCTTAATTTGTTTTTATATAATTGCGTGGAATGAGTCTTGAGTTGAATGTTTTTAATAGGCAAAAAAATACTTAAAAAGTTAATAAGTAAATGTTAAAATTTTGTCTTTTTTACTGATCCGAAAATTGGTCCGATAGGTGAATTAAAACCGTGATCCGATCCGAACCGTGAGATTTTTGATCCATTGCACCACTAGTACTCAGCCATATCAGAATTGTCATTTAAAGCAAAATCTGAAGTGTCTTTCCTCCTTTGTATGAAAATGTGCTGGTAGCTGAAATCACCAGTTCTACATTGAAGGCAAGCAGAAGCATACTGAGAAAAATAAAAAAAAAAACAGTACAGCCAAGACGATTTTAAGAACAGAGTAATAATGACACTTCATTTTATTAAATCAAATGCATTAACTAGATAGCAAGTTATCCCAAGAGGCAGTGGCAATAAGAGTGCATGCAACTAGTCAACCAGACTTTTAATGTTGCTTCCCTTGCCAAATGGTGCCAGAAAAACTCTGAAATATATTATTTTATTTTTTGGCTTTTCAATATAGAGCAGCAGGTGATGATTGGTCAATGCTGAACTTCTATCTAAAGCACACTCAGCTTTGTCTCTGGTAGGGAGTGAATGTGGATCTGTAACAGGAAGACTTCTCTTCCCTCCCCATTTTTAACAAATATCATCATCTCATCTATGGTGAACCGACCCTTGTTTTTTTTTAAACAGACTAATTTAGCAACAGCAGTTAAGATCCATTTACACCTGCATGGAATCTGCAACTGGATACATGACATCTAACCCACAGGTTTGTTTCCTCTTGGCGGGTTGCTTTGGGGGAGATTTGATGACAACAGGGGAAACCAAGTTTTTGAAGTCTGCACCCAGTTTAGAAATGCATTCTCATTATTTTGTTTGTGGTTGCAACATGATCCAGTGATCTGTACTGTTTGTGTTCCTCATCGCATTAACACAGCTACATGCTTTAGTTTGGCTTGCTTGAATCAGCAGGAAGAGATGGTATTGTTCACCTTTAAACTTCGTGGATTTTGTTTTTCTTAAGAAAATACAACCAGAAACATCATCCATTGGTAAAATTATAGTCATGTGGAGCTCCTCAAGTACTCCTACTTCCTCTTGGGGATTTAGTTTAGTTTTCTATGTTTTCTGCAAACACAAAACACATACTGAGCTTCTGTCTAAATCTTCTCTACTTCATGAAGCTAAAGTTGTTCCAAGTATAATGAGCAAAAATAGAACAGTCAAATGGTCTGTTTAAGCTTAAATACAAGCACAGACATGAGAAATGAGTGGCATTTAAAATACCATGTCGCCCATTTTTTTGATGCCTATTAAGTCAGCTAAAAGCAGTAGGTTGGTGGTAATAACTCCCTTCATCTGCCTTTATCCATTTTGCTGATCCTCGCCATCTTTCTCTCATGATTTCTCTGGTTGCCCCAAGGCACAGGCATAAATGCCTCAATCAGTGGCTGCATTGCAAGCTTACTGCCTGTCCTTTTAGATATTAGAAGTGCCATTTGTGCCGGAGTGAGCAAGAAACTGGACGTCTGGGGGTTGGGAGGTCCCTGACAAATCTTTGACTGACAACTGAAACAGAACTAAGACGCAAACGAGTAGCAAATACAAATTTTTCTTAGGTTTCAGCGCAAATTTCAGCTTTTCTAACCTAAGACAGACACAGATATCCTGAGGCCCAACCTACCTACATATTTACAGAGAGAATGTGAGAGAATCCACAGGGCACAGTTATAAAATTAAAACAGGGTGACTAT